AATCCATGTGAAGGTGCCGGTCATGCTCTCCTGTTTATAAAAGTCAAGCTACTTAGGTGACTATTTTTCTTTTTGACAATTTAAGTAAGGACACATTGTGACTCCCTTACTTAGTGGGGAGTAGGGGTTTTTTGCACTTCACCTAAGGCCATACAGTGAATGGACAAAAGTAAGGTGTAACAGGGAGGAACAGAAGGGAAAACCCCAAAAGGCCAGGGAGGAACCCCAGGGTCAGGAACCCTCGGAAGAAAATGAAAGTAAAAGAAAAGAAAATGGGAATTGCTTACCTGCAGCAGGATCTGCAGCAAAGCTGGAGACAGAGGCAAGACCCGCACGGCTCGTTAGCTGTACCTTTATACAGTTGTGGCTGGCCGACAACATCAGCCACAAGAGCCAGCCAGCAGAAATAAAATGGGCCGCCAGCAAGGAACAGGGCAGCAGAAGGAGAACAGCAGGAGCACCAGCAGGGAAGGTTCTCCCTGAGCCCCTACGGGGTGAAAAGGGGCTGGAAGCTGCTTCTCCCAGCAGGGGAGAATGCAGTAGAACACACTGCGGGACAGACACTGCTGGCAGCAGCAGGAGGAGCCAGGAGCCGGAGATAGTTCCCCATGACCGGGGACCCAGACTAAAGGGCAGAGGGGAGCAGGAAGATCCCGACACCAGGGGCCACAGCCGAGGAGCCAGAGAGACCAGCGTACCTCAAGACACCAGACCAGGTGGGACCGTTGAGGGCTCCGTAAGTCCCGAGGAGGCACACCAGGCGGGAGACGGGTGGCACAAGCAGCATGAGGGGCTGTGAAGTACGGGCCCCAGGGGTATAGAGCCGACCCAACGGGTGACGTGGGGACAGGTGTCTGTCGAAAGACTACAGCGGGTCCAGCAAACCCACAGGCTGGGCAAAGGGGAAATAGGAGTACAGAGTAGCCCACAGGTTACCCTTGACCCATATAGGGCAGAATAGGGACCTTGGTGCCTGAGGGCCGGTATTGGTGATTAGGCCAGAGGAGTTGGGGGTTGAGGGGCAGAAGGCCTCTCTAAGTGCCTCAGTATTTTTTTTTTATTTGCATTTTATGTTTCCCGCTGGTGGAGGGGTTGAGGTGCTGGGCTTGTGGAGCCTGACTGTTGTTTAAACCTAAAGGGGGTTGTCAGCCGCATAAAAAAATTAAACTGCTGTGAAGCGCAGGTAGTATATTGGGGGTTGGGCCCTGTCAGCTGATTGGACCTTCACAGCAAATGCACTTGGGGGGCTCAACAGTCGGGGACCTGGCCAGAAGGACATCTGTGACCTGTCAAGGCAGGTTGTAAGGGCGAGGTAGAGGCGAGGTGGAGCCTCGCAGAAGACCGCCAGACAGACATCCCATCATCGAGAGACTCCCAGTGGTTCGACCTGCCACTGAAATAAGACCCAAAGTTGTGGCAGGAGAGACTGGGGGAGACTATGCCAGAGGGAAACACCTACTCGACGGAACATCTGGGATGGACAGGCGAACACCACCAAACATCCGGGCCAGACTGGCACGTGACCGGATGTTTGAGGCTAGACGGGCACATAAGGTTCACCTGTGGAGCAGACGAGAAGCTGGGAGTGACAATGACAGCCGTGTCCTTTCCCCACCTCCCCACCCCCATGGCACACAGCCCCCTCCGCCAGCAGCAGGCAGTAGGTGCTTGGGGCACTCGTTGCCTGTGCAGGTGCTGATGCCCAGCACCGCATGGCTCTGCCCAGCACTGCACGTGGTAGCAAGAAGCACAAACAGGCTGGCACACCTCTATTGCGCAGAGACGCACATGCAGTTCCTGGGACTCCCTCACCACTGGGGGAAGCCCCGCATAATAGCCCCACTCGGCTGCCTCTGCTGCTCCCTGACTCCTGGAGGTCCCGCGACTCCACCAGAAGTGGAGGAGAGCCCCACCCTATGCTTCCTGCTGGAGTCCCAGGACCTACACAGCAGGGGGTGGTGAAGGCAGCTGCTCCATCATGTGGAGCTTCACCTAGGGGTGCGTGAGTGCCAGGAGCTGGATGTGCACCACAGGGAGCCCCATGCAATAGAGGCAGACCGGCCTGGCTGCGCTCCTTGCCTCCATGTGCAACACTGGCCAGAGCCGCATGTGGCAGCATCTACACAGGCCACAAGCTCCCCAAGCACACACCACCTGCTGCTGGTAGCAGGGCCTGTGAGCCATGGGAGGGAGAGTGTGGGGGGGGTCCCCACATACCTCCATCCTCCCTCACACCCAACAAAAACCATACACTCACACCCTGCCCCTACATATACACACCTCTGCAACATATCCTATTGCCCCCAAACACACAACTACACCCCTCACAAACCCCCTCCACCCTACCATACACATACCACCCCCAACCACACCCCACACCCAAAATACAAGAGTAGGACTTTATTCATAGGTTCATAGATGTAGGGTCAGAAGGGACCTTGTCTAGATCTTCTAGTCCAACCCCCTGCCCTGGGCAGGAGAGCAAACTGGGCTCAAATGACCCCAGCTAGGTAAACGTCAAGCCTCCTCTTAAAGACCACCCCCAGGGTAGGAGCCAGCACCACTTCCCTTGGAAGTTGGTTCCAGATCCTAGCCGCCCTGACTGTGAAGCAGTGCCTTCTAATGTCTAGTCTAAACCTACTCAAAGGTGTAGTAGGTTTATTTATTTTTTTGAGTCATTATGCAGTCACCTCTATATACAGTACGCAAACACAAATCATGACAAAAATATTTTTTATAATAAAATGAAAATGTTATCGTAGGAGTTTGACTTTTAGTGTATGATTTGTTTTTTTTTTTCTGGTTCCAAGATGGCACCCCCCCATCCCAAAAGAAGTACTTTAGAGGGGAGGGAGAAGAAGGGCAGGCAGGGCTTCCAGTGGTAAGGGTCAGGGATGGGACTTCTGGTTCTAAGGTGGCAACCAGGGGGCAGGGACCTGTTAAGGGGCAGGGCTACCATGCAGTCCTCAAGAGCTCACCAAAACTCATGAAGTGGCCCTCCAGCAAAAATAATTGCCCACTCCTGTTTTAGAGCCATTCTATTACTGATTTTGCTTAGTACTGTACCATATTAGACTTTGGAATTTTGCTTTACAATTTACATGTTTATTTTCTACCCAAATTAGGGGACTTCAGTAATACTTTACAAGAGGAAAGGCATTACTTATAACCATACTAGTGTAAGTACTTTATGAAAACAACAGGGTTTTATATATGATTTCAAGGGTTTTAGATATGATTTCAAACACAGCTTGTCAACTCATAATTCACTATATGCTAATAGGAAGGCCACTGTTTCCCTTATAGCTTACTGATTTAAATCAGACCAGAGTTTTCTAGAATTTAAGTCTGGAATTAACATATTTCTGTGTGTGAAAACTGGAGCTGTTTCATAGACCTGCCCAAGTATGCAAATCAGGTAGGTCACCTTAACTTCTAAACTAATTGGTAAGGGCTTGGGGGGGGCGGTATTTATTTTTGTTTGGTTTGGTTTTGTAGTATTAGAACTTATTTTCCAGCCCTAAAACTAGGAGATTGTAACCAGCCAGCCTTTCCCTCCAGCAACAAGCCTTGCATGCCAACAAAGCTTTTCCCTCTATCCATGAAGCATGATTTTAAGATAGTTGAATACATCTAATGTTAGCAACCTGAACACAATAAACCCTCAAAATTCCCACAACAACAAAACACCTTACTACATCCTGAAGTGTAACCCATACTACTTTCATATTTTAACACAAATATTTCCATTCTTACACTAAAAATGTTGGTGTACTTCAAATAACACTGCAGCAAATATTACCAGTTGCTGAAACCCTAAATGTAATAACAGATTTAACACAAAAAGTTATCCATCATGTTAGTCAATAAAATCACAGTAATTCGCAGTGTATTAAACTTGCTTTTTCAGCAGGACAGAGCAAACCAGGAGTATTTGTCCTGGATAAATGCCCAAGGAGTACCTTGTTTATTTCATCTGTGAGGAGTAGTTCCAGATAATGGCTTTAAAAAAGGCTCAGATCAAGAAAAACAGACTGATAAGGGAGTATATTTAAATGTAAGGCAAATAGATTTTATATCCTGGCAGGTTGTATTGACAATTTAGGATGGGTGCTCTTAATTTACACAAAATAAAAACTAGTAAAGTGTTATGAAAGTAAAGTCATTAGAACAGGAAAAAAGGAATCATGATCCTTGCATAAGAATTTAAAACAGGAAAATATACTTAGCTGTATGGCATACTATCACTTTAAACTAAAATGAATATTAAAAGAATAATTAGCCAGGGACTGCCCTTTAATATAAAACCAAAGACATGAGTGTTGCCTGATCTCAAATACAGAAGGTGAAAGAGGCTTTTTTGTGACCTACTGAAGAAAAATCAACACAACTTTTGATCTTGGCCCTTCCAAACCTGTTTATAATACCAGTTGCAAAATATTTAAGGCTACCCACTTCGTTGAAAATCTGAAAAAAATCAATTAGTTTTGATTTCTACAATGAGTGTTTTTGAATTTTGGATTCAAACCTTTGCAAAAGGCAGTCCAGATTAATAGGGAACAAATGCAACAGAGCTCCTTCCACAATATTATAAATAATACTTTTAATCAGAGTCCTTACCTTCAACTATAACCATTATGCTTGTTACACACCAAGTAGTGTTTGATGCACAAATGTGTTAGGGTGTTCTTCCTCCTCCTCAAACTTGATGCTGATGGAAGCATGGAAAAATAATGCTTAATATTTCCTAACAGTCTGGTGCTATATGTGTAGTAGACCACCCCATATTTGCGTGGCTTGCAGCTGAAGATGTTAGAGTACTGAAAAAAAATAAGTCTAATGACACCTGTTTTCTGGAATGGTCTCAGAATCAGTTTCCAAAGCACCTATTTTTTTATTCTTGGGGTTTTTTTTGTTTGTTTCACAGTATGAACTCCTTGGTAAAATTTACAAGTTAAAGTGTGTGTATATACATATACAAAAATCATACCACAGAATCCTCATCCTTGAGAAAAATCAGATTTACAACACACCTTTATGGCATAATTCTTTATTGTGCCATAATTATTTATTCCTCACCTTTATTTTTTATGGTGGAGTCTGAAAGCTTTATGAAATGCATATTTAGACTTCAAGAAAAAAAAATCCAGACCATACTGAGCCATACGTTTTTCTAAGCGCTCTCCCCTTCTGATATCAGCGTGAAATGTTGCTGTATTATAGGAACCTTATTCCAGCTCCAAACTGGACACCATCACATATCCTGAAAGAAAAAAGCAGAATTAGTGATATACGTGTCATTAAGTTCTTTGAGCAATTCCCTTCCCCTACAGATTTTTACTGCATTCAGCTTTTGGAAAACTACAATTCAAATATATTTAAGAAAGAACAGCTGAGAAAGGATCCTTTAAATAAACAATTTCCATGCCAATCTTCCATGGATAACTGCCTGCCAGTAATTAAAAATTATGGACCATATTCATCATTCATTCCCATCACCTGCAACTCATATGAAGTAATGAAATTTAGCATCACAAAAGCTTCAAAGATCAAATGATGTTCAAAATCATCAACTACACCTTAGGTAAGGAAAAGTAATTTCAATATCCAAAATGATATTCACAGTATTTCACAGTCAGGTTCAGGACTCTGAAGTTTTTTTCCGTTTTAGGCTGCTTGATGCAGGATATTAGAACTGGCTGCAAAAATGCAATTATAACAACTCCTTATCTAATTCCTTATCATAATCACATTCCTCATGATCTGTACCTAGCAATCAGAAGCTTACACTTTTTAGCTGTGAAATCCCAGCTGAAAAGATTGATATCTGTCCAATTTTGTTAAAACTCCGTGAGCTGTTTCGGCATGTACATCTTCAATGTAAAGAAATAAATCCTGCCACACATTTGCTCATATACTTTCAACAGATAAATTAAAAATTCAATGAACTTTGAAACCTGAAATAGAGCTCTAACTGGGGAAATACTTCTGAAACCAACATGGAAGAACTTGGCTGGAAAAAAACCGCAGAGCTGAGAAAATCTCCAGAGAATAACTAGTCAAAGAACAAACAAAAAAAAACTTTCTAAGTCAGACAACTGAATAAGGTTCTAGGTAATCTAAAAAGTTCTAAAATTAGATAATATTCGAAAAATCAGTTGGAATGGTAAGTAAACACTGGAACAGATTAATAAAAGAGGCTATGGAACCTCCATCACTGGAAGTTTTTAAGAGCAGGTTAGACAAACACTTGACTAAGATGGTTTAGACATAGATAACTCTGCTTTGAACAAGGATGACCTCCTGAGCTCCCTTCCAGCTCTATAATTCTGTGAAAAACAAACCTGTCGCCACTTTGCACTCCCATGGGGAAACAGTAGTTAAGCTCCAATCTAGCAATGTTTCCAAGTCTGAGCACTATTCCAGCACCGTACGACCATCGGATACACTCAGCCAGCTTCCTGAGGTGAGCTTTGGGGCCTTCACCTGAGAAGTAAAAGAAACATTACAATAGGAATCAAAATAGCCTTTCACTTTCTGGACAATGTAACTGAATTTTAGGAGCATCTAGTGTCTAACTACTGTAAATAAAGAGAATAAAGTACCCAGAACTGGGGAATAATTAGCAACTCGGGCAAGAACTATCTGCTTGTGAGAATCAGGAACTTGGTCAACATTTCCTCTCCAACTTCTGTGGTTCTTTTACCAACAGTTAGAGATAGAATTCAGCAAGTCTCCAGTAATAGATTCATCTGCTGTTCAGTTGGGCATGCAGTGTACCTTCACTGTATGAGTGAAGGTATTTCTTCCCTCAAGATATCAGATATCAAGTATCACTAACATTAGCTGCACTCCACAAACCCTAGTAAATCACTGAATGGACTCTGGAAGAAAAGGAAGCTGAAAGAATGGGAAGAAAAGCAGCATACTAGTTACTAGGGTTGTGCAAAACAGCACCATTTCGTTTTGACTTCCATTTCAAAGGGACAATGTTTCGTTTTGACATTTCATTTTGTTTCGAAACGAAACAGAACAGTGCTTCCTTGAAACAGTTTTGCTGTTTCATTTCGCCCATAGGCTATAATGGGGAATCACGAAACTGCCTATAACTTTGTCATTTCTTGCCTGATTTCAATGAAAACAGCAGGGAGGGAGGGTAGCCCCTGCTGAGGCCACAAAGTCTGTCAAGTTTCAAGGAGACAGGTGCAGGGGTTTCTGGGAAACTGCACCTCAAGCAGATGACAAGCAAGACTTGTGACACATGTGACTGTGTGCACTTGTTAAGGTGCACCCTCATTGGTGCTGGGGCCTCCACACGACATGGTCGTGTGCCCCAATGAGGCTGGCTCCTCGTCCCCTACAGCCTCAGCCTGGTCTACTACTTCAAATAACAACAGGTAAGTACCACAGTAGCACTAGCATCTCAGGCAGCCAAACTGTCACAGAGCCTTTCTTTCTTTCCCTGCAGGAGCTTCTTCATCAGCTGCCAGAGAACTCTCCCTGCCAGCCTGAGCCCTGGAGCTTAGATGTGCCCAGGGCCCTGCGTCCCTCCAGTCAGCTGACCAGGGACAAGTCACAGAATCATAGAAGTACGGTGGGAAGGGACCTTGT